AAAAAAAAAAGAAGAAAGAAAGAAAGAAAGAAAGAAAGAAAGAAAGAAAGAAGGAGCAGGAAAGAATAGCTCGTATACATCTTGTTTGTTAATTGTGCGAACGCGTAGTTGTCGGATGGTCGCTAGAAGCAGGTTTGTACAGTAATTACTCGAGTAAAGTGGCTCGGTCGTCCAAAGTTAATTTCAATTTTTTTTTTTCTTTTTCTTTTATGATACCATCATTCTTTTTACCAACTTTTTTTACGACACCGTTTCAACGTGCAAGGTTTTCAACTATATTTACGCATATATACGTTAATTGCAAAAAGCGATTATGTACACGATGTGTTATGTAACGTGTTCAAAGTGAACGATACTTAATGCGAAATAATATAGCGTAAATCGCGCAGTGTTAGGCTGGTACGACTATGCCTCTGTCGAACTACGATCGAAATTCGGAGAGAAGGAGTTCAAGGCTGAAATTTCGTTACGAAGGGTCAGCTCTCGTGGCACGTGATTAACCATGGATATGCACCAATCATCGATCAGATTAAACTAAAAGGCATCAGGCTTTTAACATCACCGATTTAATATCGACAAACTTGTTATTGTCGTTATTCTTAAACAGAGCTTAACTCTCGTAACTCACCTAAATCTAAAAAAAAATTTCGAAAGGTATATATATATGTATATGTGTAAGTACACGTGCAAGCATCGCGGAGGACTATTATCTTTCGTTGCGACATTAATTTCGACGTTATTATCTCTCTCTCTCTCTCTCTCTTTCTCTCTGTTATACCACCAAATATTACGAAACAGGGCAAATGAATTAAAGTTTAATTGAAATATGCCGGACAAATATTGGGTGAGCTTCCGTTCCATCGATTAAACAGCTTTGACTTACAAATCTAACGTGAAGGTGTGCACGAAGAAGGGAGACGACGACGACGACGACGACGATGATGTGCAAAATGCTTCAGAATTGGACAACGAGTCAGGAAGCGATAGGTAAAATAATAATATATAAATTACGATATTTCAGTGGTTCTTTTCCTTTCCACTTTCTGTTTCCTTGACTCGTAATTCTGAAGCATCCCGGCGGAAAGGTGAATGCAGCAAAATGACGAATACAGCAAAGAAAAGAAAAAAAAAAGGGGGGGAACAGCTTCGTAAAGGAGCGAAGAGTTCAACGAAACGAAATCGGAAGGAAATTTGTTGTTATTAAAAGTTGTCAATGATGTTCTTCTCACCTGTGTTTCCGGTTTTTCCAAGAAGGACAGCTGCGCACGAAAACAAAATGTGCACATTAAAACGCTGACGTGCGTTCGTATAAAAAGAAGAAGGAAAGAAAAAAAAGGAAATAAATAAATGGATATGCAATTCTGAACGAGTGTTATTGAGAAGATCAGTCTTTGCGTGA